TGTTAAATTAAATGAAAACCACAAAAAGGTTATAAATTGTGAGGACCGGTTAAAAATTATTTTTTTGCATTGTTTTTTTCATCAAATGCTAAAATTTAATATATTGTTTCACAAAATGATATTTTTACATTCATTTGTTTCACATTGTGAAACTTCTTTTTCGTTTCATTAAGTGAATAAAAAAGATTCACATGAAATTCTTTTCATCATATGAACAGAAACATGCATGAAACAATAGCTAAAATTATAGGTTTTTTATGAAAAAAGATCAAGTAAAAAAAATTATATCAGTTCTCTTGAATTTGTAACATTTTTATGGTTCTCATTTAATTATCAATATATATATATATATATATATATAATTTGTATATGTATATGTAAGTGTTTAAGACAACATGGTCAAAAATCATTGATTTGATTAGAGATAGATGAGACAAGTTTCTAATTTTTGTTGTGATTAATGCATCAAACCATGATTTCATTAAATGCCAATATATACACGACAATTACATCTTTAATTATGTTGCAAATTTCATCTCATTAAATCATACAAATACAATCATTTAATAACATATCTAACTTCATTTTCATGAAACTTATTTAATACAACCCTTTTAATACGTCATATTAATCATATATTATGACTTAATAATCACCTTTTTGAATACGTTTGAAATGATGTAGATACGTCCATTTGGACCATCAAGTTGAGAAAAAAAAATGATTACAAGAATACGAGGATTATTGTCACATCGATAGACGAACCCCATTATAGTATCAATACGACCCTCCAATTTTTTTTTTTGCTTATATATAAAATATGCATATATTACTCATAGCACACAGTCTAACTCTTGTTTGTATTCTTCAACGTCTAAGACAAATTTTATGGACTGACTTGTCCAAGTTTATATATGATATGGTTTCTTTGGAGTGTGATGATCACAGATGGCTTCCATATCACATCAGTATGGTTGTTACCGTATCATGTTGTCTATCATTCTAAACACATTATTTGCTTGTCATCGTTCTCATAAATGAGAAACTATATTCAATATTCTGGCACTAGATTAAAAACATTATGACCAAAGTTCACAGGGGATATATCAATTTTTGAGTACTTTATAAGCCGAATATATAACGGAACTTACTCATTTTGTCAACAGTGTATATGATCTAATAATACCAGTACTTTTCTAAAGATAAGACTTTTTAATTGCCCTATTAGTGACCCTGTAACCGGCAGGCGTTCGGTCGACCCACACAAACTTATCTCAAAAACATCATGTAAAAGACAAATCATGTTCATAAAAGTCGACTAGATAATTAAGTTAACAACTCTCTGTACACGTGGATTTTTTTGTTGCAAGTGGAAAAAGGGTGGATGAAGGCCATTTCAATCTGAAAGTGAGAGTGAGTACACCTACAAAGGTCTACTTCATGTCATCTCATGGTGGTTCCCTACTTCTTTACTGTGATTGCCAATTTTCCTTAGGGAAAAGTCTCCATATACCCATCATTCTAATCAATTCTCTAGTTCCCCACAATTCTAGATATGCCCAAAACAAAATGTAGGTATCTCTTAACCACGATCTATGGATCCCACTACTATAAATATTTAATAAAACCGACAGAATACGTTTATGAGTATCTGTAACAGTTCATGACAGAGATCTGAATGACTTGTGAAGCAACTGAAATCGTCGAAAGATACTTGACTGGACAACTCTTGGCCAGGGATCAAGAAATGAAGGATTCAGATGGTGTTTGGCCTAACATTATTTGAGTCTTTGGCTTTTTAGAAGATCAATGGTTCAAACCTCACCAAAAGTGAGAAGGATGTGTGAGTTTATTTGCCGTATATAAGTATTACATACTTCAAAAAATCAAGAAATGAAGGAATGTTACTAAAATTGATAGAATTAGGAGCCTAATCCGACATAAATAAAAAAGCAAAAAGTGGAAAGCAATACGACATATTGAGTCTTTTAATTATTTGTTCGTAGCAAACGAATTGCGAGAAACACTTGTTACCAACCCATTCAAAAATCTACCGAAAAACCATCTGAACATAATCTTAAAAAAGTCTTATCTTTTACTGAGTATGGGATAAAAAAAATCAGTACTAACTTGATGTAAATTTCAAGTATGTTCTGACGACTAATATTTTATTATTTTTAAATATGAAAGTATTTTTTTTCTAGGAGAAAAAAGAACAAATATTAAAATATGTTGCATAATTAAATGTTTTAAAAAAAGATTATCGACATGTGCCCCCCCTTGATGAAATACCCCATGGCATGCCCCCAACTAGGAAATCATCAACAAATTAATGTCATTTTCAATTAAGTGGTCCTATTCACACAACTATTAATAAATATTTTATATAATTAAAAGTTTTATTTATTTATTAATTATAATTTATTTTGATATTGAATTTAAACTGTAACTTTAGAAAAAAAAATATATTTGAAAATCATTTAAGATGTTTAATTATGAGATAAAAACTATATGTTAAATCCTACATAATATTTTATAAAGATTTATAATCCCTTTCTTTGTGTATGTGTATGTGTATGTGTATGTGTATAATAATTCAGTGGTTGAAATATAAGTGTAGGGTAAAAAATTTAAAAACAGTTATTATGATGAATAGGTTTGTACTATTTCAATAAACTTGAGTGGACCACAGGTACCTTATTATTGCTAATATTTACCGCAGTAAAAATAAAAATATGCTAGATGAATCTTTAAAAGAATAGATCAAATTAAGTACACATTTTCAAATGATCCATATAATGATTACAACTTTTATATATATATAGAGAGAGAGAGACAGATGTTCAGATGAGAGTCTTATGATTTGCGAGAATAATCTGTCAACCTCAAATTTTTTTAATCAATAAATTAAATTATATTTAATATAAATAAGTTAATAAAGATAATAATGTATTTAGGTATTTTTTATAATTTTTATTTTATTTTATTTTAATTGATTACAATTATCCCATCTTTTCTTCTATCCCTTTCTTACCATCATATCTGAAGGTTCATGGCATTAATTCAATTTAAATGTGATAAACATGTAATACTCATAACTCATCCACCTTTTCTTAATCGATTTGTCAATTGTGATAACAATCCCCTCAAAACCCAATCACTATTGTATTATGAGTATCCCTTCTTTGTGATAAATGTGTGATTAGGTAATGATTTATTTATTTTTCTTTACGATAATCACATTGTGATAAATCTATAATAGTCAAACAGGGTAACAATTTCTTGATTTTACCCTAAGCATGTGATACGCAAAACTGTGATAATCTTCTGATAAAGAAGGGAAATGAGCATATATTACTGATTCAGAGTCTAATTTCTCGATTTCTCCTTACAATTATTACACTGTGATAATTATATGATCCCAAACAGAATAACGACTTCTTGATTTTGCCCTAATCGTTGTCATAATCATGTGATATAAAAGGAGTCATTGATATATATTGTGTATGTCATAAAGATGTGATACGTAACACATACCTCTTAGTAAACGCCTTAATTCCTCTTCTTCGTCTACGTCTCCAAAGTCGACTGATTTCTTTCTTTCTAAAACCATCGACCCTATTATGTAATGTAATCTGATTATGTAATTTTATTTTATATTTTTATTTCCATTTTTATCCCTCCACGTCTTTCTTATTTTTGATTTTTTTTTAATATTCATTCAAAATTTAAAAATCTTCCAAATACTATTAAAATATGATCTAACACACAGTCTTGGCTTACAAGTGTTATCATGTTTTGTAAATCACATGGGTTCTCATTTGAAATATATATTTCTAACTTTAAATGAGCGAAAAAATATGTTTTATAAGAGAAATGAAATAACGAAATTTTATATCAAATTAATAATTAAGATAATTAGCTTTTGACGTTTGGTAAAGATGTGTGGTGACTTTGTTTAAATATAAAACAAGTTCTAATTTTGATCCCATAAATAAATTACTTTCTTATTAAACATAAATTAAATTATAATAAAAAATTGAATTAAAGAAATTACACACAAAAGAGTATAACTTCTAAATAGTTAATTTCGTACTATTATCGATATATTTTTCTCAAATTTATACTTTTGTTCAAAAATAATAATAAAAATATTATCGTTTTTTCATAACCACATAAAACTGTATTATAACATCGATGAAAATAAAATAAAATAAAACATAAAATCAAGATATATCTTAATGTATTGGATGAATATCCCTCTGGTCCAACAAAATGTGCACTCGGAGGTTTTGATTATTGATTATCTTTATCACATTGCAATATTAATATTCATTGTTATTTATCATGGTCACTATTAACATTATACGTGGCCATGTCTTATTACTCAGGGGTAAAAATGTAAATTGCTCTATTGTGTTCTTTATATTTTAATTAAATAAATTTGATTATCTTTAATCATAAATTAATATTAATTGTTTATTTTGGGAAAAGAAATAAGAAGAACAATTTGTGTGAATAATATTATATTTATCATTTATTATTAATTATTAATTATAAAATCAAAATTTAATTAGATTATATCAATATAAAAGCAACCTATATGAATCATAGCGAATATTCTTCCTAACAAAAAGTGCAAATGGTGATCGGACATTATTATTGCTAAATTTGTTACATGGRTAATCRACGTATATGGTTTAAGTTSTATAATGTGTTCAATAGCCGATTTCGTACTAGTTTTAGATTCCAATAGTCAAAACTGGAAATATTTATATCATATGAAAAAAATATTATTAATTGCTAAAATGTACTTGTATAAAGAAGTGAAATTCCATCATAATAAGTTAAATTTTATGAATTTGAACATTATATGAGTGAAAGCCTAATTAAAGTATGTACATATGTAAAAACATTTCTAAATAGATTCTTTAAAATATAGAAATGAAGTTTTTATTCTTTATTCTGTTCTAACAAATTCTCTATATTATTCTATGAAAAAGTGTAATTAGTCTGCAAATACAGGCCCAATCCGTAATTAGTTTGGGCAAAGGCTAATTTATTAATTTGGCCCCCATACTTAGGAACCACGTTCAAAAACCTTTTTTTTTTCTTTTTTTCTTTTTTTTTAATGTTTTTACCCCCTTTGTAAATTGAATAGATTGTGAAGGTAATGACTTTCTGAAAAATTTAGAAAAAAATAAATAAAAGATGAAATCAATTTCTGAAAATCGTTATTTGTATTAATTTCGGTTTTAATTGGTTTATTGAAGTAAAAGAAATTACACGTGGTGAGTGTTGATTGGGATAGTTTGAGGAGATAACTTACCTACCAACCAACCAGGCAACAACTACATCAATAAATGCAAACAAATGTAAAAAAAGGCGGCCACCCAATGTTTTATTTATTTTTTCGATGAAATTTCCTTTTTTTTCACTTTGTAAAAAACATATATAATGATTTTATTATTTTATAAAGTATGGATGACAATAATTATTTTTTAATGTTTTTATGGTGTTAAAAAAAAGTATTTTTTATTATTTAGAAAAAAATATTATCTGTTACAAATATTAACTTAACATCACATTGATGATTGTTGTTAGTGGTTGCCTTCCCATTGGGTCATCTTGGTTAAACCATTGATCCAAGACTGAGTCAACTCATTAAGTATGGATGTATGATCAAAAAAGAGTTGTTGGTTAACGACTTAATAATCCGTATGGATGTATGATTTAAGGGGTGTTTGATTAATTTTTCATTAAGCTCTGTAAATAAAGCTGAGCATATAGATATAATCTGTTTATATGAATCGAGAAGATTTCCGTTTAGAAGAACTTTTTCATAGATGAAATAAGTGTGTTTTTAATTGCGATGAAAGCTTTGGAAAAACTTGACTTTCTTTATAAAGTTCCATAAAGATTACAAAATAAACCACTACCAAACAATGAGTCTCATTAAACCCAAACAAGCTGTTATTTGATAACTTATACAAGGTTGTTCGATTATGGCTTGATGAAATAGATAGTGACTTCTTCACTCAGACAAAATGATACACGAATAATAAAAAAGGTCAAGAAGTGGCAGAGTAGCCATGCAGCCATAAACGATCACATCCGATCAGCAAGGTACCGACCAAGTGAATCAATCGGTTTCTGGGATCTCCCGTCTCCAGCTCCCCGTCGCTTGATTTTGATTCGGGCAAGATAATCAGCTGCGATCCACGCAAAGCTCAAATTTACCGTTTCGCCCTCCCGGCCAGGTTCTTGCAAAGCCAGTGATTTCCTTACCCAAATCGGATGGTACGTAACCTGGTACCAAGCAGACGCCTTTCGCTCGTACCTCTCGTTTCTTTCTTCTTCCGGAATCTGGTCAAAATCAGGACCCAGATAGTCRAACACCTTCCGGAACTCCTTCCTCAACGCACTGTACGCATGTTTGATCCTTTCTTTAAGTTCACCTTGCTTCTTGCTAGCATGTTTCGGCATTGACCAAATATGACCCGTGACAATCTCTTCTTCTCGGGCCACCTTATACTGTCCGAGAAGCCCGTTTAGTCGTCGATCGTACGACAACTTACAGCCCCAAGCATCATTTACAAAGCTAGCAGCCTCACGAACCTCAAGATCTTCGTCATACGGTATGTKGGAAGGGAGGATTAGAAGTTCGGAAGATGGCGTGACATCTGTGGCGCGACAATCTTTGACATGGCGATAAAGTTTCCCGAGTATTTTCTTCGATTTGTAGCTTTGGAAACTTTCTTTKCCCATGAAATCCGGGTAAAGCTTCGGTCTAAGAGCAGGCGGCATGTTCACGATCTTGCCGGTTTTCGGGAAATCAACGGCGGTAGCCGCTAGTTCCGCCAGTTTGATGCATTTTTTTTCTAGAGCTCCGTCATCACTCATATCGGCATGGACTACGTGTGCGTTGCAAATCGTTCCAAGACTGTCRTTAACCATGTTCTTGGTGAAAAAATCTATTATGTCCTGTTGGGATAAAAAAGTAATARTTTACGTTTAATTTTCTTGAAAGATCGGAACCAGATCAAACCAAACAAACCCARTATATAAATATTGAATCRAGAGAGATAAGAAAGTTRCCGAGTGTTTAACATCGCGTGGTAAAAGTTTGGCTTCGGCAGCAGTGTATTCCATCGGCGGCCAGCTCTGTTTGCTAGGTGGTATAAGATTTTYATCCCATGTAACGAAATAGAGATCGCCATCGAGATCACTTCCGGAAGCTTCATCGGTGTGTGGCCGGTCTCCTTTCTGCGGAAAAATCAAACAATCAAACAGATGTTCTAGACCAGGGACATCTACAGCCTCTAAAACTCGAACATCACCAGGATGAAGACACGGATTCTTTGCAATKACCACAGTACCCTTGATMACTGTCAAATTTCGTTTTGTTTCAGAAAATCTCGACCCATGTTTCACAAAACAGTTCTCGACCGACGGGTTTGATACTTGAATATAGCACTGGCCTTGTTCAAGAACACCTAATTCATCCAAACAACCCATCAACCACCTTCCTTCGGGCACAAAGATTCGAGATTTCTCACGTAAATCTTCGAGCTGTGCAACTCGGATGCTACTCAACATGCCGCGAAGGTGTGGTTCGGTTGTCGGCTTGAAACCGGCAGCCAACATTATCGAAGCTGTACTCCCATTTTCGGCACACGATGTTGTGATCACGTCAAATGCCATATCCGTGTCCTCGAGCATTTGGTCCAGATTTCTCACCATTTTCGTCTGCATTTCCCAAAAGATATCGTCTCCAACATTCAAAGCGGAGAGTAGCGTTATTATCTGACGATTCAAGAAACCGGGCTGYAACCGTGTCCAAGAACATATTTCAAGAACCGTATGAKCAGACTCRAAYTTATTCATGCTCGGCCTTAATGAAAGCTTGATATTGTCCCCCTTTTTTCCAGGCCACCACACGATGACTCCCTTACAACCCGCGTATCTGATCTGATACGCACACGGCTGATTGTCTTTCAACTGCAACTTTTC